TGGCCATAAACTCTACCACTCACTAAAGATTAAATAGGTAACACTCTTGAAATTTCGCACACCTTACAGTTACACCAAAAATAATGACCATTAAACAAGAAAATGGTTACACCAAAATAATGACCATTAACCAAGTTCATGAATTCTATTTAATCTCCATTTATGACCAAGAGGTTACCAAAGTAATGAAACCCCATAAATAAATATAAGATATTAAGGATTGGTCGCTCTAATGGACCACTAATAAGGATAGTAACTGAACCACTAATAAGGATATTAAATGAACCACTAATAAGGATATTAAATGAACCACTAATAAGGATATTAAATGAACCACTAATAAGGATATTAAATGAACCACTAATAAGGATATTAAATGAACCACTAATAAGGATATTAAATGAACCACTAATAAGGATATTAAATGAACCACTAATAAGGATATTAAATGAACCACTAATAAGGATATTAAATGAACCATTATGAAAATTTAATGGACACTAACCCTTGGTTTCCAAACGCAACCAACCTATTTTAAACCTACCCAACACGACCCAAGACTCACATACAAAGAGTAAAGGATGGAAATGGGAAAAAGACAACAACACATCCACGGAACCGAGTCTGAAATACAATTAAACACTGAAGGGAAAACCGGGATCGCTATATGGACTTACGAGTCATAAGATAAATTCGAGTGCAATGATACATAGTGTGCAGAATTTTTCTTGGTGAGAACAGTCCCAGACACCGGTATGATCTAAAGAAAATGGTTTAGTAGATATAGAAGTACTGTTACGGAAAGGTAAGGCTGTCATTTTGACAAATTTACACCCCCGATACTCGGCAAGTTGACTAGGAGAAACTTTGCCTAATATACCTTACTGAGCTAAAGACCGTAAGCGGTCAGCAGACAAATGCCCTAATCTGGAATGCCACAAATTGAAATGACTGAACAGAGAATCTAACTAAAAAGAAGAAAAGGCAGTCGGAGAGGTAGTCATAGACAGATACAACCTCTCCACCACATAGGGGTCTCCAACTCTACGGCTAGTCCCAATCTGTTGCTTGGACATCCGATCCTGTACAGAACAAATAGAAGAAGAAAAGATAACATCAAAACCAGAGGCATCAAGTTGACTAATAGATAATAAACTGACAGATAACTGAGGAACATATAAAACAGATGGAATAGAGACTGCAGACATAGCAGACGGTAGGACAGACCCAATAGATATAACTGACATACCAGACCCATTAGCAACATTAACAGTAATAGGAAAAGGAGGAGGAGTGCAATTTTGAAGTAAGGAGAGATGAGAAATCATATGATGAAAGGCACCAGAGTTAAAAATCTAGACAGACGAAGAAATACCTGAAGAAGACCCAAGAGAACTTGCATGAAGAGAGGAAACAATGGAGGTAGATGGGATGGTTGGGAGTTAGACAATATATGTCGAAGCTGACTAATCTGAGCAGTCAAGAAAGTCAAGTCAGGATCAGGAGTCGGAGCAGATGCAGTAAAATCGACAGGAGACTGAACAGACAGACATCCATTCTTGGGACAATGGTACTTCCAATGACTCCTTTGATGGCAGTAGGCACACTCATCTGAAGCAAGGAGCCCTTTCTTGGGTTTTACAGAAGCATAAGCTGTCGTCATCATAATAAACTGAAAGCTAATGAGGGCAACAAAACCAATATATCCAACATCACAGTGTAAGAACCAAAAGAGTATGAGGTCTAAATGTAATATCAGAAAATAATATGACAATAACCCAATATTAGAGGATTTCAGATGCAAAAATCCAATGGGTCAAACCAGCCTCAAACATAACCCTTTTGAGTGAGAGAAGTTGAGACGTAACTTCACTTCGATGCAACCAATAGATGCGACGAAGCAACTAGAGAACCATACACCAGGGACAATCGTGAGGCAGAGAGCACCGAAAAGAAGTCACGAGTCAAAGACTTGTGAATCAGCTAGGTCGCGAAATTTGTTTAGAGAGCTTCGAACCAGAGAGAGAACTAGGGGTTTCGACGGACTGAACTAGATATGGGTCGAAGTCTTGCAAAACCAAGATGGTTTGACCACGAATGAGAGCCATAGAGAGAAGACGAGCTGTGAAGAGCGATGACTAGATGGGTCGAACCGTTGGATGGGTGCGACTACCAAATAGCACAAACAGAGAAGAAATCCATATGGGTTGACTGAGACAAGGCACAACCATGAGTAGATGGGTCACAAACCAGAATGAACAGATGAGTCGACTGAGATAAGGCACAAACACGAACAAGAGAGTAATGGAGACGGCTCTAGGGTTTCGGATCAGAGAACAGCTCTGATACCATGTAAGATTTCTGAATAGCTTTCTGTATTTCATATATTCAATGTGTGAATGATTACAATCAGACCTTAGATTATATAGGCCTAAATCCTAAACCAAAAGGGAGAATACAATTATGCCTCTAATAGGACTCTAACACAATCATACCTCTAATAGGACAATAATATAAAATACACAATATATTCTCACAGTACCCAGGGTTCACAATGTTGGCACCACCACCCAATGTCTCATACTGTGATTTTTGGAAGCCCTTAACAACACAGGCAGCAGATTGCACCAAGGCATTGCATCACAATGAAGTAAATTGCCCTAGTTAGGGTCAATTTCCTTGCTAGAAATAGGCCAAATGTAACAGCAGGGTTTATGTGTCCACCTTACCAAAGCCAACATTGTACAAAGATCAACACAAGAAAATTGAAAAAATACAAGATCATTGAACAAGTGCTTGTTTGCTGAGAAAAACAAGGAAATGAAAATAAAATATTTCTGACTCTGGGGGAAAACAATAACCTCCCTTACAGGTGTGAAAAATCCGTTTGAGTCTTACTACAATGCGGTGCAATTTTGCCTTTCCCTATTCCCTCTCTTATTGAAAATAAAATAAAGAAATAAGCTCACCCACTCTGATATAACTATTTGTTTTATTGCAAGGCCTATTTGAGGTGAGCTGGATTTTCTTCATTTTAGCCTGTTCAAACCATAAAGGCAAGGATATAGGCCAAATAAAAAGATATGTATGGTGCAAGTTTTTTTTTTTTCCTTTTAAGTTAGAAGTTGAAAATCAAATGGCCTCGTTTTTTTACAATCATTCTTTTTTTAAATTTATTTAATTTATTTTACTTAAGTTATTTTTTCTAAAATTTGTATGAAAAATTATGGCCTTGTTTGGTTTGAATTTGAGAGAAAGATTTGTGAAATATGCTCTACAAACACATTTTTGGGAGTAATCAAACCAAACAGATTTTCCCCAAAAAAACTCTTAGACATGTGTTTGGAATGACTTTTTTCGGGATAAGTTTTGAAACATGTTTGCAAACACATTTTAAAAAAAAAACTCAGAAATCTATTTGGTTTGATTTTTGTACAAAAATAAACAAAAAAATAGCCTGAATTAAAAAAAAATTAAATAATCTTCAAAAATGCCACAAAAAAAAAAAATTTATTACGCAATTGGATTTCGCCATTTGTATACATAGTTGGATTTTTTTCATTTTTAATACATCATTTTCATCTTTTATATGTAATTAACAGATTTTTCCAAATGATTTATTGCCATATTTTATGTAATTAACATATTTTTCCAAATATGTTAACATATTCGTACGATATTGGTCCCCCCCCCAAATTTAAAATATAAATCTGGAAAAATAAAAAAAAAGGTTTTTCCATTTATATACGTAATTGTTTTTTCCTTTTTGTAAATAATTTTCATATATATTGTAAGCATATTTTATATGTAATTAACATATTTTCCCAAATATAATACTAACCCATAAAACAAGTAACACACGATTTATCAGGGGGAAAAAAAAAACTAGTAGATAAAAGGTACCCATACAATAAACTAACACAGTAGACATTCATGTACAACCATTGTTTGCAACTACGCTTACGATCGTCTTACCTAAGTACAACCATAATGAAAAGTACCACTACAAGGATGATAATAGTAAAGTAAAGAAATGCATTGCATCCACAAGAAGCCCAAAACAATCACTTCCCGCCAATACAAGGCTGTTAAAACCTATCATCTACTTCACCCACTTAAACCTACTCCACTAAACCTAACCCACTAAATCCACATACTCTCCACCTACTTCACCCACTTAAACCTACTCCACTAAACCTAACCCACTAAATCCACATACTCTCCACCTACTTCACCCACTTAAACCTACTCCACTAAACCTAACCCACTAAATCCACATACTCTCCACCTACTTCACCCACTTAAACCTACTCCACTAAACCTAACCCACTACACCACTACCACATCACCTACTCCACTAAACCTAACCCACTAAATCCACATACTCTCCACCTACTTCACCCACTTAAACCTACTCCACTAAACCTAACCCACTAAATCCACATACTCTCCACCTACTTCACCCACTTAAACCAACTCCACTAAACCTAACCCACTACACCACTACCAACTCCACTTCACCTACTCCTTACCTACTACACACTCACCATCTTCTATATATAGGAATCATGAATCATTGTAAAAGATATAACACATCAATCTCTCAATCATTTCTCTTTATACATTAAATTTCTACATGGTATCAGAGCTGAACAAATTCAAAATGGTATTATCACTACTGGTTTGAAGTTGAACACATATAAGATGATATTTTCCAGACTATAAACTCACATGTCCAAGGAGGTTGAGGTGGTGATCAGGATGAAAGAAACCTGTTTCTCTTCCCACTCACAATCTCCAACACCAGAACACCAAAACTAAAAACGTCTGATTTTACCGAGAAAAGCCCATTCACCACGTATTCTGGAGACATGTAGCCACTACAACAACGCATTCAATAAGGAAACCGAGTATCAATCAATAACAAGTAAATGATTGTGTAGAGCATGTGAAGAGATTCTTACTATGTGCCAACCACTTCCCCTGTATTTCCTTCTGTTTCATTTCCTCCAAAAAATTCTAGCCATGCCAAAATCTGATATTTTTGGGTTCATTTCGTCATCTAGAAGAATGTTGCTAGCCTTTAGATCTCTATGAATAATGCGCAACCTTGAATATTGATGCAGGTAAAGAAGCCCTTGAGCAATCCCTTCAATTATATGAATGCGTGTCATCCAATCTAGCATCTCTCGCTTGCTTGGATCTGTGTTTACGTTTGTCGGGAAGGTTTTTCAACACTTCAATAATTTGCAAAACATTAAACATGGGAGGAGAAAAACTAACCAAATAGGAAGAAATCAAGACTTTTATTGATCATGTACTCATAGATCAGTATATGTTCATCTTGCTCCATGCAACAACCCAAGAGTCTAACAAGATTTCGATGTTGGAGTTTGGCAATCAATACTATCTCATTTTTGAACTCCTCAAGCCCTTGTCCTGATCTTTTTGAAAGCCTCTTTACTGCTATTTCTTGTCCCTTGAGTAATTTACCCTGGATGAAAATAACCACACACAAAAAAAGAAGAGGAAAAGACAAAATAAAAAGAACATTGCCTCATTAGAGATGTAACTAGCTGAATAAATACTAACAATGGAGAAACATCTCCAACTGCTGAGGGGAAAAAGAAAAAAAAAAAGAAAAAGAAAAAAAGAAGCCAAATCATGACATAACATGCAAAACATGAAGGTGTGGTTGTAATTTCTAAGGGGGGGATGGAAAAAGAAAAAAGAAAAAAGAAGCCAAATCATGACATAACATGCAAAACATGAAGGTGTGGTTGTAATTTCTAAGGGGGGGATGGAAAAAGAAAAAAGAAAAAAGAAGCCAAATCATGACATAACATGCAAAACATGAAGGTGTGGTTGTAATTTCTAAGGGGGGGATGGAAAAAGAAAAAAGAAAAAAGAAGCCAAATCATGACATAACATGCAAAACATGAAGGTGTGGTTGTAATTTCTAAGGGGGGGATGGAAAAAGAAAAAAGAAAAAAGAAGCCAAATCATGACATAACATGCAAAACATGAAGGTGTGGTTGTAATTTCTAAGGGGGGGATGGAAAAAGAAAAAAGAAAAAAGAAGCCAAATCATGACATAACATGCAAAACATGAAGGTGTGGTTGTAATTTCTAAGGGGGGGATGGAAAAAGAAAAAAGAAAAAAGAAGCCAAATCATGACATAACATGCAAAACATGAAGGTGTGGTTGTAATTTCTAAGGGGGGGATGGAAAAAGAAAAAAGAAAAAAGAAGCCAAATCATGACATAACATGCAAAACATGAAGGTGTGGTTGTAATTTCTAAGGGGGGGATGGAAAAAGAAAAAAGAAAAAAGAAGCCAAATCATGACATAACATGCAAAACATGAAGGTGTGGTTGTAATTTCTAAGGGGGGGATGGAAAAAGAAAAAAGAAAAAAGAAGCCAAATCATGACATAACATGCAAAACATGAAGGTGTGGTTGTAATTTCTAAGGGGGGGATGGAAAAAGAAAAAAGAAAAAAGAAGCCAAATCATGACATAACATGCAAAACATGAAGGTGTGGTTGTAATTTCTAAGGGGGGGATGGAAAAAGAAAAAAGAAAAAAGAAGCCAAATCATGACATAACATGCAAAACATGAAGGTGTGGTTGTAATTTCTAGTGGTGTAACGATGTTGGTGGTTTTCAGATGGCATAGAGATGGATGTGAGACAAGTTTTCAATTCAAAAACTATTAGCTCGAGAGATCAACTAAGTCCTAGCTTCAAGACCATGTTAAAAATTTAGGGGCATCCAACCCAAAACTATTGGCAATGAGTAAAGAGACTTTAGACTTATATGAACCAAACTTGAGTGACATAGAAAGGTGACATGGGACAAATCGTTAAACAGTCATAATTTAAAGCTCTTAATCTACAGATTCAATCTTACCTTGTAAACAGGTCCAAAGCCACCCTGTCCAAGCTTATTGGATGATGAGAAACCATCGGTAGCGGCAGAGACACTTGCAAAACTAAAGAATGGCAAATCAGCATCGTTCTTCTTCCCCCTTGTCAAATTATATCCAGCATTTGTTTCATGATCAGTTGCATTAGAACTACCATCAAAATCAAATACCAACAAATCCTCGCTTGGATACTTTGCCCCTGCTTAATCCCCTGAGGTTTGAAAACCCCAATTTTATTAAAAATAATTAAGTAGTGAACAGTTTGGCTCAATTTAATCATGTCTTTTTGAGCCTTAATTTGTAACTATAATCAATGGTTCTTAATTTTTTGAAACCAAAATGTAGTTCTTTTAAAATAAAATAAAAATTGGATCAAAACATTTGAACCACTTTGAATTGATTTATCTATTTATCTAGTTTTATTGAACACCGTTACTACCTGGCTTGAATCAATGACATTGTAACACCATTTAGCGAACAATTTTCTTCACTGCTCAGCAATGGATTCGCGTCCACAACAGTTCGGCTGGTAGAGAAAGCAGGTTGCTTAGGTTTTGGTGGAAGTGCAAGTTCATTATTAAGCATTGAGACGACATAAGACATAGTATGTCGATCAGCTGGATTTTCTTGCACACATAGAAGCCCTACGTTGATGTATCTCAACAACATCAAACTAGAAGGACAATTTACAACTGGGTCGAGCAAGTCCAAGCCACGGTCTGCATTCCACAGATCCCATGCCTGAAAATTTCAATTAAAAGATAATAAGAAATTCAACATCACAAAGTGAGAAATTAAATGGAATGAGAAGGCAAGGGTCTCATCGATTAGCTCACATGTCCAAGAAGATTGAGAGAGTTACTGTGATAAAAACCAGTATTCCTCTTCCCACTCACAATCTCTAGCAACAATACTCCAAAGCTGAACACGTCCGATTTTATGGAAATAATGCCTTCCATTGCATATTCCGGAGCCATGTATCCACTAAATTTTAAGTGTGCAAATAAAAACATTTTTAGTAACTTAGTGATATATATAACTTTCACTCAACAATTTTAGTGGGATTTTTTGTTTTTCCACTTACTAAGTTCCAACAATCCGGTTTGTGTTTGCCTGTGACTGATTACCACCAAATATACGTGCCATGCCAAAATCTGATATTTTGGGGTTCATTTCGTCATCTAGAAGAATGTTGCTAGCCTTTAGATCTCTATGAATAATGCGCAACCTTGAATATTGATGCAGGTAAAGAAGCCCTTGAGCAATCCCTTCAATTATATGAATGCGTGTCCCCCAATCCAACATTTCTCGCTTGTTTGGATCTGTTTCAAGTTTATATCAGAAAAGTTTTTATTTCAAATTTTGTATGACATCAAATATGTAGAAGAAAACACTTACCAAATATGAAGAAATCTAGGCTTTTATTGGGCATGTACTCGTAGATTAATATATTTTCATCGTGCTCAATACAACAACCCAATAGTCTAACAAGATTACGATGCTGGAGTTTGGCAATCAATTCAATCTCGTTTCTAAACTCCTCATGCCCTTGTCCTGATCTTTTTGAAAGCCTCTTTACTGCTATTTCTTGTCCCTTGAGTAATTTACCCTGGATGAAAATAACCACACACAAAAAAAGAAGAGGAAAAGACAAAATTAAAAGAACTTTGCCTCATTAGAGATGTAACTAGCTAAAGAAATACTAACAATGGAGAAACATCTCCAACTGCTGAGGGGAAAAAGAAAAAAAAAAAGAAAAAGAAAAAAGAAGCCAAATCATGACATAACATGCAAAACATGAAGGTGTGGTTGTAATTTCTAAGGGGGGGATGGAAAAAGAAAAAAGAAAAAAGAAGCCAAATCATGACATAACATGCAAAACATGAAGGTGTGGTTGTAATTTCTAAGGGGGGGATGGAAAAAGAAAAAAGAAAAAAGAAGCCAAATCATGACATAACATGCAAAACATGAAGGTGTGGTTGTAATTTCTAAGGGGGGGATGGAAAAAGAAAAAAGAAAAAAGAAGCCAAATCATGACATAACATGCAAAACATGAAGGTGTGGTTGTAATTTCTAAGGGGGGGATGGAAAAAGAAAAAAGAAAAAAGAAGCCAAATCATGACATAACATGCAAAACATGAAGGTGTGGTTGTAATTTCTAAGGGGGGGATGGAAAAAGAAAAAAGAAAAAAGAAGCCAAATCATGACATAACATGCAAAACATGAAGGTGTGGTTGTAATTTCTAAGGGGGGGATGGAAAAAGAAAAAAGAAAAAAGAAGCCAAATCATGACATAACATGCAAAACATGAAGGTGTGGTTGTAATTTCTAAGGGGGGGATGGAAAAAGAAAAAAGAAAAAAGAAGCCAAATCATGACATAACATGCAAAACATGAAGGTGTGGTTGTAATTTCTAAGGGGGGGATGGAAAAAGAAAAAAGAAAAAAGAAGCCAAATCATGACATAACATGCAAAACATGAAGGTGTGGTTGTAATTTCTAAGGGGGGGATGGAAAAAGAAAAAAGAAAAAAGAAGCCAAATCATGACATAACATGCAAAACATGAAGGTGTGGTTGTAATTTCTAAGGGGGGGATGGAAAAAGAAAAAAGAAAAAAGAAGCCAAATCATGACATAACATGCAAAACATGAAGGTGTGGTTGTAATTTCTAAGGGGGGGATGGAAAAAGAAAAAAGAAAAAAGAAGCCAAATCATGACATAACATGCAAAACATGAAGGTGTGGTTGTAATTTCTAGTGGTGTAACGATGTTGGTGGTTTTCAGATGGCATAGAGATGGATGTGAGACAAGTTTTTAATTCAAAAACTATTAGCTCGAGAGATCAACTAAGTCCTAGCTTCAAGACCATGTTAAAAATTTAGGGGCATCCAACCCAAAACTATTGGCTTTCGGATTCGGCCGCCGATAAGGCCTTCAATTTGCAGTTTAAAGCATAAAACATGGACAGATAATTTAACAGTCAAACAGATAGAAAAAGTCTCGCTCCAGTGGTCCACAATGTCTTAGTAAGTTCCACCGGGGGCAATGAAGTGGTCGCTGTGAGCAGTCTTTGCGAGTTTTAATAGTCCCATCCATTCCTTTCATTTCCATTTTTTCCCCAAAATCTATTCGTGCGCTCTCCACCTAAGGTGACTTCACCTCCTATTGTGGATTTCGTGCCTCAATCTTCTCTATTTCTCTTGATTTGTGCCTTCCCAAGTTATGTTCCTCACTTTTTGGTAAGTTTTGTTCTCTCTTTCTCTCTTATTTTTCTTTTCTTTCATTTTTTCTCTTCTCTCCTCATTCTAGGGTTTTCACTTTGTTTTTTTCTTTCTCTTTTGTTTATTTTTGTTAATTTTACATTCCATTAGTGATTTGTATGCATCCATCTAGGGTTCTATATCTTGATGATTTTTATTTTTTTTAATTTTAGGATTAGTTGGCTTAGTTGTTGCTTTT